CCATGACGAGTCACAAAGGGGGTGCGATCGAGATATGGACAGGTTTGAATACGTGCCAACGTACAATTTTCACGTAAGACATTTTTCGGAGACCATTTCACGGCCATAAAATTTATGTCGCTCGTGATAAAATTCAGTGCAAAAATAGCGATGTTCTCAGACATACGTTTGAAATATTATATAACTCGTTACCTGCGTCAAGAAAACTGATGGCACTTTAAAAAACTAATTTTATTCTCGCGTAGAGAAGTATGATATTATTTGTTAGTTTGATAGTCAAAAGGATCTCTACCTACCCTAAAATTACCTATATATTTACTTCATAGTTAGATTCACCTTTTCAAAGTTTTATCTCAGTACCCATTGGACCTTCTGTCATTCTCGTTATCACAGCGACGGAAGGTCTATTACGTCATCGGGTCCAACATATGGTCGCTAGCAATGCACTGGCCCTCAAGCCGTACAAATAAGGACAAGACCATGAACGTTACCTTAGATAACTTACCTTCATTCGGGTTATAAAATAAACAAATTGTCATGTAATGAATGTCTATTTTACTTTTACAAAGGCATAAATGAATGAATAAAAGCTAAATATTTAAAAATGATTTTCTATTCATTGATTGTTATGCAATGTTCTTCCTAGTTTCCGTTATCAATAGTTTCACCATCGTATAGATAAAATAATAGGCTACATATTTTCATTTTGGTCTGGACTTCTTCGCACGCAAATTCGACTCTACTCTTTAAGTGTAAAACGAATATGTATATTTTTTTCAGAAAGTAAAGGGTGTGGTGTTATGTAATATTAATTTTAGAATATTAAAGGAAACAATAATTAATATCAATATTCCCTACAATTTAGTAAGGGTGTATATAGTCTTCTTAAAAGTCTAGAATAAACCATGTCTGCATGACATACTGTGCATAAGGTATATTATGAGCATTTGAGGGCCAAAATAGTTCATTACACATAGGTGCGTGTTATTCATCACAAACATTAGAAAATTATCATCTTTGTTTATGTTTATATTCAGATGTTAATGTTGAAACAACTCCAAATACGTCAATGGTCTCACACACTGACTGCAATGATCGACAGATATCCCCGTATGACGTCACGATCTATAAACAATACACATTAATCATTAACACATGACAATTAAATCATTGGTCAGAGGTTTAATTTTGAGCAAAGTTATTTTTATGTAAAAATATTAATAGATGGGCAGGTGCGAGTGCAAGTTGGCAAGGAGAGTATTATGCCACAATGTGACACGGTACTGGACTAATTGTAAACATAATAAACAGTAGGTATATTTGTTGTTATTTCTGTCGCTATGAGTGCGCGGTGAGGGGTGCGCACTGCGAGCCTCACTCGATGCTCGGCCCATCTGTTTACACTTCAATATTATCACTTTGTACGTTTGCGCGGCCCTTGCTCATTGCCGACGTTGTTATGGACATATGTTGCTTGCCAAATACATGATTCACATTATTATATTTGTGTCCAATGATGCCCGATTCGGAATGTTTCTACGAGTTCATATATCATTGACATAGCACCAGGTATTTCCGACTATAGGCATATTTATTGCTGCGTGGTCCAGTGGTTGCCAGCCCGATTGCTGGACCAACTCTACTTGTGTGACAGAGAAATATTATTTACCTGAAATATTTGGTGTATGTACGACATTAAACCCGCTTTATATTGTTATCATAATCTTAACTGAGTGTTACATCTTAAAGTGCAATGAATGATACCAAAACACTTCTAATAATCTAATCTGATAGATGTTCGTACATTGTTTAGATATCAATTTTTCTTTGAAATTCAGGTAATTCAAGTAATAAATCACCTAAATTCCGCATCTCACCTCATACTCTTAATTAATATGTTGTACATAAAATATAGATAACTAAATAACATTTTAGGACTTTCAAATCAATGTCATGACTGAAAAAAGTAAAAATTTAAAAGGTTAATCGCGTCGAGAATGTAAACAAGTTGGAGGGTTATGTTCGGATATCGTTTGTCTCAATTCATTGTCTCGACTTATTAACTTCCCATCACTCAGTTTCAGAGCATCCTCAATATTTTATATAAAAATGCACATTTTCAGCTCTATCTATTGTCTAGTTTTACACTGAAGGCTACTTTGAAAATAGAGGATGACGTTGGTCAGCTTACATTGTACAATAGATATTGATGGGTGGTTTCAGAAGTATTATTGAGTTTCAGGTGTGGTTACATCTGAAATAAAATAATAATGGTAATTGGTGAAGTAGTAAGCTCTACCATACCACATAGGTACCTATTTACACCTAGTTATAAATGAGAGCACTAATGCTAAGTGGGTAATGAAATACAAATTCCATCGTGTATCAAGGTGAAATGCGTTGCAAATAAAATTCGTTTAAGCTTGAACGAGTTAAAATACCAAGGTATCTATTGTGAGACACGCGGTTGGCACCCTGTCATAACTTTATTTCAAAATGCAATTAATCAACTATTAACTCAACGTATTTACTTATGCCAAACGTTATTCTAACTGCATACCATTTCGGTTCCAAATTAAATAATGATTAAAAAAAAACATAAAAAAACTGATTTAAAAAAAACTATCACGAGAGGATTTCAGCATACAATTTGTCCCTTATAATTATTTGTCCCTTATAATTATTATGATATTTATGCATTTAGATCTATAACTATCCTGTATAATAACGACTTTAAGAACAGTTCAAATATTTACGATTTTATCCGCATTCTGCAAGCAAATACAAATAATATATTATTTTAGACTAATAGAAGTCTAACATAGTACCGAGTCCTGCATCTCATGTGGGCGGATAAAGTTCATAAAGCACGTTTATTAATACTATAATTACAGATTATTTATTGCAAACAAAAACAACATGGAAGTCATATTTATTGGCATATCATCCTTAATAAGATGACCTAAATATATAAAGCCATTTATTTATTTCCTAGTTTTATGTAACGCAGGAAAATTAAAATGTTGCTTCAATATTTGTGGATTAGCAAAAAGATATTTATAGTCTCATTGTCTATGAACAATGTATTTAAATGTACCTCATAATACTTTAGCATTGTTTTTTCCCAACATTGATGATAGAGTTAAGTTTAGCACAAACACGTAGACATTCAGACTTATTTTAGGATACATAAAAATATCTAACTGAATCACAAGGAAAACAGGTAACTTTAGAGCTACGAAACATAATATGACTTAAATGAAAATGGTCTTTATGACTATTGGGTTAGAGGTGAAATCATCTTTTCAATAGTGGTTGTCACCATTGTAATGAGTAAAGAGCATACACGCGATACTTTCTTTGAAGATGATGAAAGTAATATGAATGAGTAATTAATTAATGTTTGTTGGCGAAGTATGAGCGTCTGAATAATGAATATAAAATATCCCATATAAGGTTTGCCGACATCTATTTACTCTGCATACAGTAATTCAATTCGAAATTGCACAAAACATCTACTTGAAGTAAAATGAACGAGAATTTTCCAGAGAAATCTCAATGAAAACAAATATGGTTGAAGCGAACCAAAATGTTTACCTGAAAGCTAAACAAAGCTTCCTACCCGCACTTTGAGAACTGGTTTCCCTTTTGTTTCATAGAATGTTATAACTGACGATGAATGGAAGGAACTTATCATAATTAGGTCCTACCCCTATGTATAATAATTCACAGGTATATTATGTGGACACATAAGTATTTTTAATAATCGAAAATGAAGTACCTACATTAAGTATGAATTTATGTATTGTCATATTCGAAAATAAATAATTTCAGGTACGTAATTAGAAAAAATAACATTAAAATAATGTTCAATTAAGTTTGATCTTTTAAGTAAATTAATTAAATTTAATTTGGTAAATATTTAAAAACATAATTTTACTTAGGTAAAAGGTTTATTCCTGTATATTTATTTTCCTTTTAACTTATAGATGAAAGCAAATCTAATGAGAATTTCATGTCTAAAGTACCTTCCCACATGTTTATTTTGTTTCGATGAAAGTATTCATAAACAATATTAATGTTTCTATTAGTAATAGGAAAATAATGTAAACCGATTAACTACCTAGAATAAATCAATGAAGTCAGTTGAAAAAGCAAAAACCTGAGAGGGTTGTGCGTGAGACAGGTGAGGGTGTAGCGAGGCGGTGGCGAGGGCGGGTGGCCGCCCCCCCACTGGGGCCGTGTGCAACTCGCGCATAGACTACGGTCGCGCGCTGCCCTCGCGCATCATTCGAACTTCGCGCACCGCAGTCTCGGCATCTACGCCCTGAACTGTATACGCGTCCGGGAGCTTCATCCCGCAGCGACTTCGACGAACAGGTCCTTATTCCAGTGAAAGTGACATTTAACCTCTTCTTATTGCATAATAATATAACCTAACCGCGAGTGAAACATAGTAGTCCCTATGTGAACTATAATTAGAGTTGCATCGGCACGCTCCAGCGACGTAACTTTACCTGAACGCCCCAAATTAGGAGCGCAGGCGCATCGGCCTACGCGCCGCCCGCCCAACGTTCCATATTTCGCTACATTCTTTTAACCGAGCTACCGCTGCATTCGCAGGAAGCCCGCCCGGCCGATATACCGCCCGATATACGTGCTTGTTGAGCAATAAAGTGTCAGTTCACATCAGATTGAAGTGGTGCAGGCGACTTGGATTTCGGCCAACGGCTGTTGCATTTAGAATAAAATTTGACAACGTACCTAAAATATGTTCTAACGTGTTAACTACATGTGCTGCGATATTAATGGTGTTAAGTGGATCTACTTGGCTAAGGAAGGATTTAATGTGAATTAAGTGAAACGGGATATGAACGCGACAGTTCGGAAGCTTATGTTCAAGTCGCCTGCAAGCCAGCTGATCCTGCTGACACAGTGCTCTATGTGAATTGTTGTTTGAACTACAAATATTTTGTTTCAGGATAAGTTAAGCGAGCACAATGCCTTTCAAACCAGCAGATAACCCTAAGTGCCCAAAATGCGGCAAATCAGTATACGCAGCTGAGGAGAGAGTCGCCGGAGGACTCAAATGGCACAAAATGTGCTTCAAGTGCGGTAAGTTGTAGAATATAATTTTATATCTGTTCCGAACATGTAACTATTGTTAGTCTTACTTACTTAGCCGGAATAGGTTGTGGGAAAATGCATAACGATAGCAATTAATTGAGTTACGATGCCGGTTATTTTTTAAATAGATGTACCTAGGTTCTACTTAGATCTAAGTAAGCACGTCATTAAAGTAAAACTATGCAACTAGAATGATAAAGGGGAAACACAAAGCCATTTACTCGTTTTCTTTTGTTTTGTTCTTGCAACTGTTTATTTAAATGTGTGCAATGTTAGTTTAAGTAGGAACAATAGGTTTGCACGAGACAATAATATCGACAAACCGCTTTTTGAAATAAATTTATTATTATTGACTGACAACAAACCTGACTTTTCATAAAACTTCATCTCGTCAGACCTTTTGTTTATTGAAGGGGTTGTACATTATCATTGGTTCACTAACTTTTCGCTAGTTAAAATTTACGCAATTATCTAACTTAAAAGCAGGAAATCTGGAAAGGAAAGTGAAAGGATGCCAATGCAATTCGTTTCCTATGTTCCACGGCATAAAGTTTATGTATGACATAGGTATGACATGAAGTTGTCACGAATTTAGTTGTATGAGAATGGATTTGTCAAACCTAATCGATGATTCAGTAATTTCTATATATCTTAAATTCCCTTATAGACAACCATATGGAACACATTAAAATGCGTCACATTAAGACCAACTACATAGGTATTGTTTGTGGTTAGCGTACATAGAAACCTATTGTTCCTGGAATAAGAGAAGTGTAGGGTGTCGAGGTAGCAGCCTGCAGTACCTAGACGTCATACTAAATTGTTGTGTTGTACAGGCCTGTGCCAGAAGTTGCTGGACTCTACCAACTGCTCAGAACACGAAGGTGAACTGTACTGCAAAGTGTGCCATGCACGTAAATTCGGACCAAAAGGCTACGGCTTCGGCGGTGGTGCTGGCTGCCTGTCCATGGACACTGGTGACCACCTGAAGGCTGAGAATGCGTAAGTACCATCCTACATAGCTCTCCCGCCGCCCGCGCCACTGAGGGCCTTTCCTTATCTAAGGTCGCAACGACGGCCGGCCTCCGGGCCCGTGCGTAACCACATTAACCGCGTGTACATATACTCATACTATACAGTAGAAAGCGCGCGCTGGCTGTACATTACGCGCCGCCTGACACGTGCATGACCAGTCTCCGTTTATGTCGCAACAGGAATTGAGCGAGCAGCCGTCCAGCAGAACTTGCGGGTCGCCGACACACATCTCGGCCCTCCAGCGACGCCTCGCGAACGCACGCCATATACTGTACTTTAAATTACTCTAGTTAGGATTATTTATTCGCTATCGCTTAATTTAATTTGTTCATCGGTATTATTTATTATTTATAAAAAACACAAATAAATAAAAACAGTCGACTACCAACCCTGAGTTAGTAATATTTACGAGCGCGCTCGAGGCGCGCGCGCACCCGCGTTGCCGCAGTAGGGCACGCGCCGGCTCGAGCGCGTTCCAGCCCTGATCGATCCCTTCCTCCCCAACGGGGCGTACCCCAACACGAAGGAGCCACGGTGAGAAACCAATATGTAGCCTTGGCTTAGCAACGCTCCAGACGCACCTAGATGGCATGTACCGAGACGAACTTGTGTTAAATAACTTTCCTTGCTACTCACACTCTGTCTAACCCTCAGCTAACGCTTCCGTCTTAGCTTTAACTGATAGTGATTACATGTGATGGGATAAGGAAAGCGCCCTCTATGTCGATATAATATGTAGTGCTATAGCGAGGCCGGTGCGGAGCGGGCGGCCGGGAGCCCTTACCTTCTCCCATTACGGCGGAGGTGCGCCGCCGGCATCTACCTACTGCTTAGCCGCAAGCCGTGTGGCCGATACTAGAATGTAGGGGCAAACGGATTCTTCCGATGCCTGAGAGGCTTTTAACTATTCTTCTGTCACCTGTTGCTTGGTCGGATCATTGTCAAACATGTATTGATTTATGGCATGTATACAGGGGCGTAAGGACTAACGGAGCTTGTCTCGAGCCACGCGTTATTGCCAAGGCGCCTCCTGGAGAAGGATGCCCCCGATGCGGTGGCTACGTATACGCTGCCGAGCAGATGTTAGCCAGAGGCCGGGTAAGACGTTCAGCTTTACATGTGTATTATTGTAAACATCTATGTATTATTATCTAATACGTCATTTTCACATATTTTAATATAATTGATCAGCTTGCATTGCTTTTAGTTGCTTTGTCAAAGTTGAAAAAAAATAGAATTCCCACAAGCTGCAAAATAAAATTGTTTTTTAATTTTATGCCGTAGGGCTATCACAGGCGATGCTTCAAATGCTTAAATTGCAACAGGACCCTTGATTCAATGATGCATTGTGATGGGCCAGATGGTGACATTTACTGTAGAGGTATCTGAATGATGAACTGTTGTGTCACGTGTCAATAAAATGTCCCACCCACAGATATGTATGTGCCATAACATCATGTATCATTGTAATAACGCGAGTGCTCCTCAACAATAGTGTGTCCCTGCATGCCCTGACGTGTCCTCACTATTCACTGTATGTCCAGGCGTGGCACAAGGAGTGCTTCAAATGTGGAGACTGCTTAAAACGGCTGGACTCTACAAACTGTTGCGAGGGCCCAGACAAAGATATTTACTGCAAAGGTTTGTTTTACTGCACATTTCCCAAATTTTTCTTTAAGACCTAATTTCTATAAAATTATTCTTAAAAGCAACCAGTTACCAAGTCACTACTACATTTATATAAATAATATCATGAGTGGTTACATAAAACTATTAACTGAAACGCATGTTCATTTTCCCTTTTCGTGGTTTTAATTAAATGTTTTTCTCTATAGTATGTTATGGCAAGAAGTTTGGTCCTAAGGGATATGGTTACGGAAAAGGAGCTGGTGTCTTGCAGAGTGACCCTTACGCCAATGGGTAAGAACCGCTAGTGGATCGGACGTGTGACTTATCTGGCGAGGGCACAGCTTTTGACACAAACATACACAAAATAAACAATTATTCAACCATGCAATCTATTTGCGAGTGAATCGCTGTGTGCTCAAAAGATGCAATAATAACGCTTATTTGCTTTTGCTGTAGGATGCTACGCACAAAGATTTGGTCCAAGAGGTATAGGACATGGGGGAATGTCAAGCCTGGGTCTTATGTGTGATATTAAGGACATGGAATGGCAAAGGTACAATATAAGATTGTCCCGAAGACCTTAGAGGATAGTCTATAGGACTGGATTCCAAGTGTTCACAACTAACCGAATCACCTAACATAACCAATTTGCTTATAGACTGCTTTAGCAAATTAGTTTTTATCCCAAATATTGATAAATTGATCGTGTTTAACACGCATTACTTAACACCACATGTTTCACTCTTCGCAAGTTATTTTCGCCAGAAGCTTCAGTAACATTACGTATACTTCTCAGGTTACATGACAGGTTTAGGTTATTTCCATCGCATAGTCACTTTCATAAAAACAGCTTATAATACAAACAAGAGATGGCAACGTGCCAATATGAAAATAGAACGCGCTCTCCGCTCTCGATTGGACTAATTTTAATATCGGCGAGACTAGCCACGCTTTGAGCTTACAACATGTAATCTGTGGCAAACTAGATGAATATCTTCATAAATATTATGTCTACAACTATGATTGCCTACAATACTTATTTCAAAACCAGGCTCAATATTTTCCAACTTTAGCTAACTAGGAACCGTACCTGTACTAATACTATAGTCCGTAGGTACGTAAGGAAGATATCCTTACCTAAGTACCCACCTACGGTTACTCAAATAACATTCTCATAAAAGTGGATAATAAACTTGTGGAATAGAAGGTACCTACTTTAGTGAATTAATTTTACATGATTATCCTACCTTGTACCAACTACACAACTAGGTATCTACCTACCTAATAGAAATAGAAATACGTAGTTATGTATTTTATAAGCTCTCGGCAGAAGCTTAGTTTAGGCAAGTAGCAACATTGGTACCTATTCGTTGCAAATTAAAATTGATTTAAGTTATAAGGCAGATATTTAATAAAGGTGTTCTTCATCAAACACAAAATTCAGATCATGTGGATAGCGATGAGGTTAAGTACCTACTCTTATGTTATCTTAGTACCTACCTAAGTAAGTTGGTAAGTAACCCCGCCATATTTATTATTTTAATATGTCGCAAAATGACTAGTACTTAATTTAATATGTCGCAAAATGACTAGTACTTAATTTAATATGTCGCAAAGTGACTAGTACTTAATTTAAGTTATAATGTAGAAGAAATCTTAGATTAGGATCATACAATACAACTCACTCATCTCCATTTTCATTACCATGATTGTTATTTTAAGATGTTGAAAGAAAATGTAATACTACCCACAATCGCACTATACTAACGATAAAAAAATATTTACTTTTATGAATTACTCGACATTTCGTTTCATTTGCAGTGACCAAGCACCCAAGACTACGGTAATCGATACCGCTTCCATCAAAGCGCCGCCCGGCAAGGGTTGCCCCCGATGCGGCGGTGTTGTGTTCGCAGCTGAACAAGTGCTGGCGAAGGGCCGTGAATGGCATCGCAAGTGCTTCAAGTGCCGCGACTGCACCAAGACTTTGGATTCCATCATTGCTTGCGACGGACCTGATTCCGAGGTTTACTGCAAAACTTGCTACGGCAAGAAATGGGGCCCTCACGGCTACGGTTTCGCCTGTGGTTCCGGCTTCCTTCAGACCGACGGCTTGACGTAAGTGATCGTATCATAAAATAAAAAGAAAATTATTCCTTCATAACTAATGAATAAAATCTTGGCTAAAAAATATCTAATGTGATAATATCTACTTACAGCGAAGAAGAAATTTCCGCCAGCCGTCCTTATTACAACCCTGATACCACCTCCATCAAGGCGCCTAAGGGCCAGGGTTGCCCTCGTTGCGGCGGTATGGTCTTCGCCGCTGAACAACAACTCGCTAAGGGCACGGTAAGTTTAGCTACAACTGATTGACTGTTACTACTATTTATTTATTTATTCATAAACAAATTTACATTTGTGTTGAATACGGTTTTGAACCAAAATTAAAAATAATCACATAAAAATCAAGAAACTCAGGTAAAAGCAATACAATTCAATTAAAATAAAACACAATCATACATAAATTAAATACATACATAAATAAAAACTTCATTTAACTTACTAATAATTTCAAAATAAAATGATTTCCGATATTTCTGCAACTGAATATCCTTACTGTGTTATTGAACAGGACATTTATTTATTTACAGATGTGGCACAAGAAATGTTTCAACTGTGCAGAGTGCCACCGACCTCTGGATTCAATGTTAGCTTGCGACGGTCCCGACAAGGAGATTCACTGCCGTGCTTGCTACGCCAAGCTCTTTGGACCTAGAGGATTTGGATATGGCCATGCCCCTACTCTTGTCTCCTGTGACTCTGAGCCCGCTATTACATAGTTAGTATGCAACTGATTTATTAATAATAAAATATACATATGTTAAATAGAATTTAGAACTATGATTGGGATTTGTTATAATATTTAATCCTATAATTCATATGTTAGAGTTGCTATGTTTTAAAGTGCTGGGCTTGAAAAAGTACACCATTAAAGAAAATGTTTTATTTCCACAGCACGGAGCAGCTTCCTTTCACTGGCCAGAAAGCAGCCAAGGGCCAGGGCTGCCCTCGTTGTGGGTTCCCAGTCTATGCTGCTGAACAAATGCACTCCAAGAATGGCACATGGCACAAACGGTGCTTCTCATGTGCGGAATGCCATAGATCTCTTGTAAGTACATCTTTACACTACATGCTACAAGAAAATAATAATGCAATAAGATAGAATAAAAAAAATATATTAAGTAGGTATAACTTAAAACCTATTTTTCTATTTAAATTTTATTTGTTTTTAAATAATCATGTTCATCATCTGCTTCGTTTTCAAGATGAGCCTTTAAGAATTCTTCTACAGAGTCTGTGTTCCACTTTTCTATAGCCACAGTGTCCTTTACAATTCCATCTTTATCCAACAATTTGATGATTGGATCTAGACCTCGCACATACTTGATTTGTAGGTTAGGGAATTTAGCCGGTCTATCGCTCTTAACAAATGCTTGAATTTGTGGATACGCCGGGAACTTGCACGTACAAACTTCTAGTATAGCACGAGCATACTTCTTCTCTTTTGGTGCAGTTTCATCTTGATGGCAGCACTCTTTACAGTGAGCCATTAATTGTTCTAACCCGAAATCCTTCAGTTGATCACAGGACGAACATAGTAGGTTTGCTTTGATGAATCCAAGCGATGCACAATCTTCGGTGGTGAATTCAGCATTACTACTAAGTATAAAAAATGTAGCCAAACACATAAAGAGAGCCGCTGAATACATTTTCAAAGATTTTTGCCACTTTTGTCCAAAGTTCCTTTTGCCCCAAAATAATAAAGTATCCAATTAGAATCTCACATCTATCTCGACGAAATTGATTCAAGTTTGACAATTTAATGAATGACGTGTATTATGATGGACTGACAGTGACATTATGTATTGAAAGATCACGTTTACTTCTATCTCTATTGTACCTACTTAAAACTTTAAGTAAGAGTGAAACCGCTATATTTTGCAGATTGTGTGGTACGGTCGTACGGAACGTGCGATTATTATTTTTAAATTCTGACTACGAGTATTTTTAGACAGCCGCGTTGTATTTTAAGAGAATATTTTTTTATAAACATGGTTGATTAAATGAATTCTACAGATCTAAAAGTAGTAACGTACCTGCAATACTTACCTTTTCCTGACAGCCTTATTAAACAAGTGACTGCGAACACGACAGTTATAAAACAATCAAGATCTTGGGTTCAATTCCTGGGTTGAACAAAGCATCTTTGTTTCTGTACCTCGTTACTCTGTTTAGGTGTAGTGAACAATATCTAGCCGGATTGTCTGTTGTTCACTTATATCTACCCATTCTTTTTACGCGTCGATTGTTCTTACTAATAATGTGCCTAATTCTTACCGTTTCATAAAATTATATTTTACCTGTAGTCTATTTGAATTTTATACCTATTATTACTTTATGAATGTATTCGTTCCTCTTTTGTTTCAGGATTCAACCAACTTAAACGACGGACCCAACGGAGAAATTTACTGCCGAAGTTGTTACGGCAGGAACTTTGGTCCTAAGGGTGTAGGTTTCGGAATGGGCGCAGGCACATTGACCATGGCATAATGGAACTATGAAGCTGGTCTTTATAGGAACCATTTAGATATAATGGTAGCATGAAAGGAATCTAATCTAATGTATGTTGCTACTTAGCTTGACAGACTATCATACCATGTATTAAACTGGCTTTAATAATGGTTGATATTTACTTTCAATGAGACTAATACCTAAAATAAATGGTAATAAAGTTAATGGCCAATGAACACAAATATTTTGTCACGAAAGTATAAATTAAAGGTTACATTCCTTTCATAATAATAATGTACAAATTGTGATGAATGTGTCTGGGCCCTTAGTTTACATATTCGTTATAAAATATTGTAGTAGGTACATAAGGTAATAGACTTAATGTAGGTATGTAAGAGGTATAAATAATTTGTAATACAGCAAGATAAAAAAAAAATAAAAAACAAAAAAAAATATTAACGGCATTGTGATTACATGTACCTTATATTTATCACACTGTGATATGAAGGTATGTGCAAGACAAAAAACTATCCTGTAAACGCGGATAAGATTGCAAATAATTGTAATCGTTTCGACCGACCAGATCTTATGTGTAAGATCTGAAGCGTCTATTCTATACATATTTTTATACACCAAAGATTTTTGTACATAATATTGTAATTTACACGAGCGCACAAGTTGCACTACGGTAAATTGTAACCACCTACGTGTATTACGCTTTTGGAGCTTTTGCTATATATATCTAACGAACATATTATGAGGATAATGTAAAGATAAAAGCAGCTTTTTGCATAATTATTAAAAATATTAAACAAAATTTGTATAAGTTATAATTTTATTAAATAAATATACGACATTAAGTGTTTTCTTTACATATCCAATATATTATTATAATATAGCTATAGGGGTATAGGGTAGAGAGATGATTGAAAATCTCACATAGTAATAATTTTTATTATTTCAAATTATTACAAAACAACAGACTTCAAACAATCAATTTATAATAACAATTTAATTATTCAATGTAAAATTATCGGAGGTAATTATTAGGCAGATTCTTTTGCACAGGTCAGGTTAAACTTAGGTAGCTAGATTTATCACAATTAAAATAATATTAAGTTTACAATATCATCTACATAACTTGTGATGATTATTTTATGAGGTAGTAGGGATAACTAATCTTATTCATAGTGTAAAAAAACAACAAAAAAAAACAAATGCAATTAAATTGAATTAACGACCTTATCATAGAAATATAAAAAAAACATTAATACTATCATGCAAACCATGTTACAAAACTCACATCCAATGTAAAGTAATCACATTACATTATCCATTTTATCATTGGGCATTTTCTTTTGTAACGTTTTCATGCATTTAGATGTAATTTTAAAATAAAGAGTGTAAAGTACTTTCTCATGATTTTTTCTTCACAACCAATCTTGGTCCTTTGGACTTTTTTGTGGTTTCCGATGTGCTGGGCTCTTCGAACCCATATTTCATCTTAAGACGCTCACGAATCATTAGCCCCCTGATCAAACGCTTCCAGTTACCATAAACTCGTGCTTCTATCTTTTGTATTTCCTTACGTTCTTGTTCTTCTTGATCCTAAATTACAAACAAGAATTATAATATTACCATTTCTAATACAATATTAGGAAACTAAAGTGTATTAGATTCGTTACCTTCAGCCAGGCCTCTGTGATTATCTCCTCAAATTCCTTGCAAACTACGAAACCGTCATATACAGGGTGTGAATATCCGCCACCGCTGTATTCGAAGCCGGTCATAGCTGGTGCGCAATCTATGTTCAGCTTCTTTGCAACTCTCAATAAATTCGGCACTGTAACATTGCATTAATAGGCATAATTAGTAGACATAAAAGATTTATAGCAGTTAAGTGTGTAAAATAGAGTTTTCACTTACATTTGATAAGAACAGTTCCTTTAGGTAACATACATTCTTTAAAGAGTTCAACATTGCCATACGCGTTCCGGGGTACAATGCCATTCTCTGCTGTTGGTGGTTCATAATCTTGCACTTGCCATGGCCCAAATACTTCCAAAAGTCCACCGTCTACTATTTTACATGACAACTAAAAAAATGTAATAGCTTTATTAAATTTATAAGAAACCATGATACCTCATCACGTCTTCGACATTTCAAGAATGTCGTTGTGAAGACTCAGAGGCCATTTTATAAAGATCGATTGACTGACCTTATCCCACTTGGGTCGTGCTTTTACGATCTTGTAGGGCTTCTCTCCTAGTCTAACCACTTTAGCTTCCTTGAGCCAAATGTCTCTTGAGCGGCACACATACACACACTCTCGCGCGTACACTGGCTCGCCACGGACGTATCCTAGCACTGCTGCATCAGGTGGATAAATAGCTTCGAACTTTAGTAAATGTCTCTTTAACGCATACAGTGGATGATTCTTGTATCTGTAATGTTATAATAAGTCCATCAGTTAAGGTTTATAAATATTGTTTTATAATGAACATATATCTCAGGTACTTACTCAGCAACACTTTTAGGTAAAGGTGCTTCTAATTGCATCTTATCCAAGTATTCATCTTCCTCCCTATCTCTTGCAGTCCTCGGTCCCCGCCAAGGTTTTAATGCAGTTTCCCACCAACTAGATTCAGCGCGAAGTTTACGAGTTATAGTATTCCAGTGTGGAACATATTTACGGGTCAAATCCTTGACGTAGTTATTGTTGTCCCATCCAACAATGTAGCATATTGGGTGAGTGGCATTATTCTGAGGACATCATCAAATATTGTTAATTATCAAATACAAGATTTCTATAGTACATGGTTCAGCATTGATATTATAAGTTTAGTGAGACATACTAAATTCATTTTACTAAAGTAGTTATTTGACGAGGAACTCGACTAGTTTCAAGTCATACTAGAGGCTCATGTATGAGCATCATTTCTCGACCCGCAATGCGGTGACGCTATTAATTACGTAGGCCGAAAAACATATACATAATTTAATGTTTCAGCATGCTGTAAAATACCGAGGACCAGAATTACTTACATAAATGTCACCTGCAGAATGTACTTTTCCTTTGGTGACATCGACACAAATCCATTGTTCCAACTCTTCTACAAATATTTCACACCACACATCCACTCCCTTTTTCTTGTTCTGTTCGTCGCTGGAGGTAGAGGATAACACTCGTCGATCTATTTGACGACTGGTGCTTGCTTTGGGACTTATTTTTGTTTTTTTAAAGTCATCATCACTGTCAGACCCAAGCCTTTTAGGGTCTTCCACTGGTAAATAATCACTATCTTCATCAGATTCCTTTTTAATTTTACCTGAAAATATTGTGTTATAAAGTTAATAAAGTACATTTTCCTAATTTTCTTGACGATGATCAAATGGATGTATTTTATAGTGATAGAGTAGTAATTATACCACTTTAAAATATAAAAAAACTAAGGCTTATGGCCTCTACTACTGTAGAGGAGGCTCAACGTCCAGCAGTGGACTATTATGAAATGTTGATAATTGCTATAACTATTATAATTACCTTTCACTAATCCTTTCTTTGATTGTAACTTAGCATCTTTAACTCTACTCTTTATAATGTTCACCAGGTCTGCAGTGACATCACCCTTTCCTTTATTACTTTTCGCAAGATCTCTGTGGCTCACTCGTTGACTGTCTTCAGCTTTAATTTCTTTTTTAATTTGTCTTGCAGTTCTTTTAAGAGGGCTTTTTTTAGTTGGGCTTTCAAAATATTTGCTTTTTTCTATAGAAGCGCCAGGAGCGCTCTGTGTTCTAGCACTTGGTTTCGAAACTTTTCCCTTATTTTCCTCTACACTTGTAGTCAGTAATATCTTAGGGTTAGCAGTTTGTGAACGTTTTCTTGATAGCCTGCTGGTTTTAGGTTTTGTGTCTTCAAAATATTTACTTGCCACTTCTTTTGCATTCTCGTCTGTTACAGATATTTTCGGGACATCAGTAATGTTATCAGTATTCAGTTTACCTCTTTGTGTTCTTGTTCTAGGATTAGGAGAAGTATTTAATTCTTTATCTTTGTCTTTACTACTTGGCGACAAAGTTTTACTTATTTTAGTTTTTGATGTTTGCCCTGTAGTTACACTTTAGTTGTTAAAACTTCTTCGGCTTGTGATTTGTTTTGACTAGTTTCAGCTTTTAACTTCTGGCTTCGAGTTAGACTCCTGGGTGGTATCACACTTTTTGTTGGAGATATTTGACTTCCACCTTCTTCCGTAACCTTTCTCCACGAGGTAAGGATTGTCTTGGTACTTTAACACCTTTGGATGTTTTTTGTGATTTATTTCCTTCCTGTGCTTCCTTTTTTCCATGAGTTACTTTACTTTCATCTTGTTTTAAGTTTGGTTGGAGTGGTGATGTGCTGCTTGAACCTTTCTTTGGTATTTTAGGAGGCGATATTTCTTCGTTTTCTGATTTTTCTGTAGTAGTTTCACTTGCTTTTGTTCTTTTACCAGATCTCGTTTTACGATCACCATCATCATTTCCATCAACTTGCATTATATTCTCATCTTCACTATCAGTAAATCTATCATCACAACCATCTACTTGAGCAACCTTTTTCTTTTTTGGTTTAGAATGGGAAGAACTAGGTTTTTGATCTCGTTTTTCATCTTTTTTGATGTTTGGGGGCTTAGTTTTAGAAGTACCTGCTTTAGTTTCGGAGGTGCCTGCCTTAGCTTTAGAAGTACTTGCCTTAGTGTCAGAGGTGCCTGCCTTATCTTTAGAAGTACTCTTTTTCTCTTCTTGGTTTTGTAGAAAGTGAACATAGTTCAGAACTTGGTGGTTTTTTAGGTAGCGTTACGAAATTGAACATAACGCGACATTGAAGACCCAACGCCCGCAACATAGTGACAAATATAAAAACTAAGTATTTTTTTGAAGTGACTGTTTTGTTTTTAATCTGATCCAACAAAAGTGCTTTAAGAGGTGGGGCTTTTGGTTTGAACTTATCTTCATGTTTGTCTTGCTTCAGTTTAAGTTTGTCTTTGTACCAAGATGTAATTTGTTCAACATATTTCATGTCAACTCTCTCTCCAGGATAGCATTCTTTGGATGGAACTAAAGTTAAAACAGCTGCCATAAGTTCTTGATCATTTAAAACACGACTTACGAAATTGCCATGTCCTAACCAACACAACACATGTACTTTATGCATGTATACTTGATATTCTTTTTTAACCCTGTTGATTTTCCTCTTCATCATCATTTCAACATCAACTTTCTTACTCTTTCTGCATCCTGCATCAGGGAATTCAACAAACAGTTGCAACCCCTGTGGTGATATCCCTCTTGATTCTGAAAAAGCGAACCATTAAATTAATAATGCTAACATTTGAACTTACTAATAAAGTTGAGAACTTACAATATACCCTTCACTCACACAATAGTAAAATTATCACTAGTGTATTTTAAATCATACATTGTTGTTAATTGGGCAGTTTATAAAGCAGTTGTATATTCATTATGTTGTACAGTAATAGGGATATCCCTACTTTTGTTAGAATATATTTCAAATAATTTCTAGCACATTAATGAAAAAAATGTTGCTTTGAACACTAAACCCGAATCTAATATTATTATACTAGGTGAAAAGTTGCAAAATATACTGAAAAAGACTGGTAATTAAACCCTTAATCTTATTTATTATTTATGTACACAATACACACATACAAACACATATTATAAAATTGAAGTAAATAGGTCCCAGATATTCCAACTGGAATTTCTTCCTGTGGGCCTGTGCCAAGAAATGAAATAATGACACCGACACACAGTGTGTTACACAAATATGGTAAAATTAATTAAATAAAAAATAATAATTAAAACTAAAAAAAATTAAAGAAATAACAATATTGATAAATAAAATATTCAATATAATACAATTATGATAAATAAACCATAAATACATTTAACAAAAATCTTATTGGTGTTTTACAAATAACTAGTTACTTGTTCTATTAACATTTTTAGTACAGAATTAATTGAATTATACCATTGATATTGAAAAACTGAAAAGCCAAATAATCCGTTTCAAAGTTAGTGACCTGGCATCAGGATTATTTTTATTAATTTAAAGATTTTTTAATAAGGGTTAGTGGTAAACATACCTTTAACTTCTTCCCAATCCTCTAGTTCAGAATCACTGTCTTCTTTCTTTTTCTTAGATATAGGTTTTTTCTTAACATTACTTGTTGTAGGCTCCTTGCTTATAGCCTCCTCACCGAGAGCTAATAGGTCTTTGACATCAGTTTCTTTCTGAGACTCACTAAGCTTTTGTGCATAGCTCAGAAGTGATGCCTTGGTTTCTTCAATTTTAGTTTTATGCTGTTCAAGTTCCAAAAATGCCTTTTTGGCAATTTCTTCACTGTTATCTTGTATGTTATTTGACCACACCTGTTTATAAATTGATAGTTTTGGAAATAAACCCACATTTTAGTTATCATTTTCTGAGAATTGATAATTATTTATGGTACATATGCATGTAAATGCAGCCCAAGTGTGCTGCCAGTTTAGTGCATGATTAAGGTATTTTTTTTTATTAAAAACAAAGTCATTGAAATTAGAATAAATTTTATTTTAAACTATAAACTATTTAGTTAAAAAAGATAAGAGGGTAATTGACTGTTTCTAATTTATTTTTGACTTTTGGAATATATTATTATCTCTTAAATTTGGCAATTTCAATGTCCTTGTTTAGCAGTAGATAATTTAATTTAGTTCATTCGCTAATAACCATTCATTGAATGAATTACTTTATTTAATTTGTTTATTCATCAATAGATAACAGATAAGTTTCTAGATAATAATCAAGTGTTATTTTGGATTCACCTCGGACTTGCAATATCTTATCGATAAAAAGTGTTATTTTTATCAATAACATGTAGATTCATTGTGTTTACTAAAATAATCTGAGATATTAGAAAATAGATTGTCGGCCATCGACTTACGTCTTTGTATTCCATAGCAGTTTCATTATCACTGGTTGAAACTTGTTCTGATTCTTTGAAAGAAACTGAGGTAATTGGTTGTTTTTTTGAGATTTTTTGAGATTCATCATCACTGCTATCTGAAACAAGTACAATATACAAATCACAAATAATCATGGTCATCATGATCATTAATTTTTTGTGAGAGTACAAGACAAGTCGTAACATGTCGGATCGCGTTCCGAAAACATGTTCGTATTATTTTGGCTATTGGCACTACAAACACTGTTCAAACTTACCACTTTCCGACAAATTAAGCTCTGAAAAATTAAATTTTGGCAATATTTTGTCAGCTTCTGTTAGGTCTTTGACTGAGAACTGCGAAGTTGGAAGTATATCGTCTTCATGTTCATCTTCGGCCAATGTTTGTTTTATTTTTTGGATTATTGTTTGCGCAAATTTTGGTTTCCTAGTTAACTGCTTCACTTTAGGTTTTCTTTCTTTTCTTTGTTTAGCGCTGGAATCATTATCAAACTCTTCTCCAGATGAAGGTACGCCGAGTGCTTCTTCCTCCGAGCTTGATTCATCTTCAGGAGAAAATTTCGCATCTGAACCAGAATCACTGAAATCACCGTCTTCTACTTCACTGTCCTCATCTTTATACACTGTTTTGATTACTTTTTTCCTAGTGTTAGGCATGTGCTTTATTATGAATTGACCTTGAACAATTTCGACAGTGGTGTAACACATACAGCGGCGTAATTTAAATAACGGCGTGATTTCAACTTAGCCGCAATTTATTCTTCGAGAGAACAAAAATAAACGAAGTTGACAATAACATAGTTTGACATTGACATTATGTTTAGTGTTGCTTTTATAAAATATCTTGTCGAGAGGCTTTGTAAATGGTGTTGCCGTGCTGATAAAATATTGCAAAATAATAGTCCCGTCCGCAACCGTTGCTCACCGCCATTTCTATTTGTACGCGTGCTTTAGTTTTATCAACGCAATATAGATGCCGTTAGTTGTACTCAAAATGAAACTTGTACGAAGTGTAAATAGTCACTAAGTAAGTCACTAACATCTGAAACTTTAATTAAATGAAGTTACAATGAAATTAACACAAAGGTATGCAAGGACAAGAAGGATAAGTGGTTAAGTAGGTAGGTAATCAAACCGAACTTCCTTTAGTTCACACACACGTTATAATGACAGTTAATAAGCAGTTCTTTAGAGATTGTAGATATGGACGATGAAAGCATTAGTTATATACCTCTACAAAGGATCTTCAGGACGTCATCGAAATGCATTGGTGCAGACTGCTAAGAATTTTGTGTATAGCCCATCGCCCAAAATGCCCATTGAGTGCTTATTTCATATTTGCCTAAAATACCTTTACCTCATAGTTTGCAAGATCGAGTATAGACCCGAGCGACTGATGGTGACGGCCTGACGGGTAAGATAAATGACAAGAGAACGAATGAACGAAGTCTGAAGAGACTACATGAAGTCCAGACTCGAACAGCTGGATATCCCAGTCAGTTATGCACTACACCGGACCACTAACCGTGATCGACGGAGACGTGCTGCTGAAAAAGAAGATAAATTAGGTATATTTAGATAAGTAGAAACAACTTTAGAAACTACAGATTCATGTAAACAGTGAAGTTCCGAATTTACTATTATATTTGTAAATTACTTATTTGTTCGTATTTAACATTATTCGTAAGCACCATCATATTGTAAGGTAAGGTATTGTGTACATACTACTATATAACTCTACACAAAAGTCAAAATTGTACGTACTTCACCCTTGTGCTTTACCTGTTCAGAAACCAAAGAAGGTTTAGCTACTAGGTGTTGTCACTCGTTTACCATTAAGCAATTTTTTCCTTTCTGGGTGGGACCAATAACATACTCGCCATATGCGATGTAGGTAGTATGTATTTATTATTATATTATATTATTATTTACTTTAAAAATTAAAAAAAACATAACGTCACTCTTTTTATCCCCGAAGTTTTTTTTTATTTTTTTAAGGGGGGAAAATCATCGATTGTCTTATCCCGCCTGGGTGAGGCGGAAGAAGTCATTCAGGCGAGTGTGAAACTCTTATTGACTAAAAACCACCCCATTCCTACCCCTGCTCTGCGAGCCGGAGCCCCGGCAACCCGTTAAGTGCTCCGCGGTTCCGTATCGGCATCAGCCCTATTGGGCCCCATCCGTGGTGTTCTGATGGCGGCGAGCTACTCATGCTCGCCGTCCACAGGCCCGTGCTTACGGTGGCCGGAGATCGTCCCGCGATCCCCGACGCCCGTAGTATCCTTCGCAATGGTTGGGTTGTAAGGAAGCAGCACTTCGCTACCTCACGTGCCCCGCCTCCTCCTTAGCTAGCATGACTGCTTTACAAAAGGAGGAGACGGCATCCCAGTCCTCTTCGCTCCGCGTCATGGCCCGGACCAGGGCCGGACGCGAAAGGTCACCGTCGTCGTCGTCGATCACATCCCTGAGGGCACGGCGGTGCTCAGCCCACGAAGGGCATGGTTCGTCCCCACCGTGTGTTCCACCGTGTCCTCAGGTTCCCAAAGGGGTAGGTAGAGTTGCAAATTTCGGCACTTAACGCCACTGTACAATGTAACATCCACTTTTTACTAATTTATGTTATGAATCCCCTATAATAGGGGGTGAGCCTACTGAAAAAAGAAACAATAAAACCTATTAGGTAGGTACAACCTTGGTCTTAACTAGGCAGGCTAACTTGCAATGATGGTAGAGCCATTGAGGATTGAGGCAGGACGCATGACCTAGGTAGTAACCTAGGTCATGCGTCCTGCCTCAGTCCTCAGGTAGGTAGCACCTATGTACCTCTACGTTGGTACCTAGTCTCTCGGTTATGTGGAACTTGGGTGGTTATGTGGGACTTATAAAACGTTACCTAAATATTCTTGTCAAAAATATAAATAATAAGAAAATTAAAAATAGATAATAACAGGGAGGTACCCAGTAACTTATGTAGATACTTACTTTTTTTAAAGGGACAAGTCCGCCACAACCTCCCAAAACCGCTGCAACTCCTATAAGCCGGAATCTACAGAAGATACAACCATGAAAACACCGGAACACTGAATTCCGGCGCGTCCTAGAGACATGAATAACTGTCTTGGTTCTCGCAACGAAGTGAATCAGAAACTATTATAAGAAGAGAAGACTACTTATGTACAATCAGTTTAGAGTCAGTTTATAAAGTGAGCGCAGGGTTAAAGGTACTAAATGAATTCAGCGCTAGATACCAAATCTATTTCAATAATAATATCCAATTGCGTCAAAGCAGACCGCTCCTTTTTCTTCGATTTCGATTTGCTAAAAGGTTTTATAATTTACCATAATGGAAAGGTTGTGTTTGTTTATAGAATGGTAAATGGTCTGAATCAATCCTGTTAAGTGCTTTTCAACAGAGCTTTATTGCCTGTATAGCGACGTCGAATGGATCAGTCCTCGATGCGGTTCATCTCCTAATACTTTTCTAGGACAAAGGTTCAGCTTTATCTACCACTTGTTACGTTATTAGGGCACTATAATATGACTCTATCGTCCGAATACTGAAAGCCTCCTCAATTTGAAGTTGTATTTAAATATCGTGGTATCTCTATGATTTTACAAAGAATTTGTGATACTTATGCGACATAAAATTGTGTGGCGTTGAGTATTTGGACATATGGCTTAAGACAACTGGACTTAATACATACGATAAAATTTCCATGTTGGTATAGGATACACTTACATACCATTTACCACCTTAAAAAATTCTACAAACTGTAAAATTTAATTAAAAGTAAAATTGCCTCACATATCATCAAGTGCCTCATATTACCAGCAAAGTTAAAGACGTAACAATAGAAGTCAGCATATTCAAGTCGGCTCTTTGAGTAAATCGCATTTCCAACGTAGCAGTACTCGCCATAAAGCATAAACTAACATAAATAACTTCAATTGTTTGCTGCCTTATTGTTAACTTTAATTACATTTTGAATTAATTTTGTAATTAAAACGGAAGCTAGGAGCGCGCCGCGTGAAGTTTAAGTGGCTGGAAACGGATCGACCCCGGGTGGAGATGGGGTGCGCGGGGGCAGCGGGCTTTTAGATGCAATCTCTGAGTGGATTAATTAATTCTGAGGTGCCGGTTATCTCCTGTTATCATTTAATAAAGTTACGTAAGGATATAGAAATTTCGCTTTACGGCAAAGAGATGATTCTTGCTTTAAGCTCTTGCCATGAATCCGAGTCGTTCGTTTATTTCAACCTTGTGCAATTAGATATTATTATTATGTTACCGTTTATACTGTTGCTTCCTTTGTATTCGTCACAGTTTAAAATAATGTTGCATCTACTTTTCAGCTGTTAGAAAAAACTTAATATATAAAAAGTGGTAGGTACTGGTCTATAGGTTAAAATAATATTCAATGCCTGATTAAGTTTACCTCTACAATAAGTTACTAATTTTATCACTAGTCCGTCAAATGCATTGTTGATATGCGTCGATACTTTGATGATTTTGAGGAAGGAGTACCAGATTTTGAAACTTGGAAAGGTTACTTGATATATTTAAAAATACATTCATAAATGAGAATGTTGAGATGGGCTACCGTCTAATGAAATCTTTGTGAAGCCTGTTGAACAAACAACATTAAGTACATCGATATGTCGTTAAATGTTTCATGAGGTGCCTGGGCATCACCTGGTGTGACGAAAATAACAAATTCAGAACGCTTTTCAAAACAACACTCAGCCTGCGCTACATTATGCATGAAGCACTCCATTTGCTGATCCGCTCAGGAGTCCCGCTCGCGGCTCGTTAAGCGCTTACATTAGCTACAAACACTTATTGATTTTGAGAGATTGATATAATTTGTAAGAAATGTACGCGTCGTCTTTTAAAGGAGTTAGATCGTACTCTACGTCTAGCCGTGTATGGATGAAATAAAGCAACGATACGAATGTATTTCTTTAGATTAGTTGAGCTGTTATTTTAAGACGTGTACCTTACGAGATGTTGATACATTACTAACGTTTTTGTTATTCTAGGTGGCCTATTTGTTTATAAGCACCTACTTAATACTAGGTTCATTTGTTTAGGTACTAAGTAACTAGGCAGCGAATACTCAGATTAATCTTTTATCATTTTTAAAATATAATTTATTAACGTTTTCCGCAAATTCATATTAACGCAATATATAAAACAATGTCCATTAGCTTTGTTTCTGAAAACCTGGCCAAGTAAATGTCCATCGAGGGCTCGCCATCGTGGGGGTTTGGGGCAGCAGGGAGGAGTTAGAAATGCAATATTAATGCAGTGCCGAGTGGCGGCCAGAGTGCATTTACTTAATGGATCGTAGGCAAAATGTTTACACTGTCGTCGAACACGAAAAAACAAGCAGTCCGAAGTCGGATAGAGAGAAGCTCTTTGGCAGGATTATTGCAAGCAACTGGGGACGAGCTGAGTCACATAAATAAAAAAGTTGCTTACTTCATCTATCTACTCGGTAAAAAAAACTTATACGACATCTCCACTACAGACGTAGGAAAGTGTGGGATACATTACCGGAGTGGAAAAGTTAAAAAGCTTAAATGTATCTCCGGCGCGGCTAAAAGTGTCTGACAAAAGTTCGACTTCCATTTTAAAAAGCTCCATTACAAAACATCGAGATTCGCTTCCGCCACGCCGCCGCGAGCGCGAACTGATGGCGGCTTGAGGAACGGAATTAAACTCGAAAACTTTTCAATTTATTTTATATGAAATCGAGCATGCCCGCGTATTCGTGACGTGAAGAAAGCAAACTTCCTTCGACTTGTGGCTTTTTAGAAGTAACAGAGAGTTAATGTTGGATGTTTGTGGGCTAATGCGAGTCGGAGGAGGG